TGTTCACTTAGAGTTTGTATACTCTTGGAAGTCAACCTTCCTCTGTGCAAGGTGCCGTGTGACCCGTCACATTAAGGGCCAAAATTCTACACCGTTTACACTTGTGCCTTGCTGACGGTCATTGCAAAAGCTGGCTACCCTGAGAAGTGTTTGTAGATAAAGACAAAATAAATAATCACGCGTTCGGCATCACTTACAAACATGATCTTTAAAATCAGCACATGATGTTCTTGACGTCCACGTGATATGATAGCTGCATGAATCACATGATGCCTCAACTTGATGACACGACGACTTGTTCCGTTACAAAACCTTGGATCTAGGTATAAGTTTCGCATCATTTTGGAGGCCCTATTTCAAGCGCTAGCCTGCGCGGTGAAATTTGTTGAGGCTTACAGTATGCAGTACCTCGCTCTAAGAATATCATTCATCATCGCATTCGACTGGATCGTTTAATAATCACTCACTAAACTGCTAGTGTATCCATTGTGTGTATTTCGGGGTTCTTCCGCGTTTGTTGCAGCAAACCTGGTAGTTGCTGTCGAAGTATTTATCCAATGCATTTTCTGGATTGTTGATATCCGCATACACTATTTTGATGGTACTCATCAAATCAGTTTTAGGTATTTGGTGATCATCATCGTCGTCGTAAGCTGCTTCTTCAAAATGTCAAATATTATATGGAAGCTTGACGAATGCTTAACCAAGCGTCGATTCACTTCATGTGGTCCTGATCCAGATTGAAGTGCGAAATTGGGCATTGCAGACATCTCTTCTGCAGACAATCCATATTTGGAAGATCTCACACGCGTGTTCGGCGGAAGATGCACCTGGAGAATGCTTGTTCATAATGTGATACTTCCAACATACACCGATAATTTCCGCACAATGGCTGGACGAATCTGACAAGATTCACCTACTAGCGCGTCCATTTCACCTGCAAAAAGCTTTACTAGTATGGCCCGTAGAGAACGACCAGTAACCTCCAATGCATGTGGATAAGTCATCAAAGCTTCCTTTCAAAATGTGAAGCTAGTCTTTGCAACTAACTACTCCAGCGCTATATGCAGCGGGGCTGCCGAAGCAAAACGCTTGTGAAAGCGTACTTTAGGTCACAGACCTTTCGTTCTGTACAAGAACCAAGTATGAATTAGCGGATCGCAAAGAGTAATTATTGCCTTCCCAAGGCTAATCGACTCTTCGGTTTAAATTCCACACTGGTTTTTATTTATTTATTTATCCTAATCTTAAAAGTTTAGATCTTTCTAAATATACTAAATATACATAGTAAAATCTAAATACATGCATAACTACTGGCTACCTAGCCCCGTACCGTATTCTTGTTTGGGTGCGTAATCACACGATGCACATCTCGTTTGACACACACCCCTGTTATTAGGGTTTGTTTTACCCCGTTACACCCTCCCTTATTAAGATTGAGAACATTTACAGTTCCAATCGATCGCTGCCTCAGCGAGGCTCGCGTGTTCGTTAGACACTGCAACTCAATTTGTTGGAATTTGACAGCTTCCTTGCTCAATAAGCCATGTGTCCACGACACGAAAATCCTCAAGTCTCGCTGGTTCTGACAGCGAGCACGGGCAGAGCCCAACTTCGTCCCCCGCAC